TAACAATTCACTAATACATATGACCAAAGATAATGGATGTTATTATTATTAACAAAAAATTATAATAATTATAAATTATAATAGTATAAGTATAATAAAATATTGCAAATATGTTCAGTTTATAAAAGGTATCGGATTTGATTTCTTAACTTTCTCACCAGAAATTTCATTACTCTGTAATTTTTTTATAGTGTCTCAAATGTGTGTTGTCTCTCTAAATCAAAAAAGGCAACCACACCCAACACTAAGAGTTCTACGTAATAATATTCAATTAACCCGCACCTTGATCCGGAAGACATTTTTTAAGAATCGCAAACAACGATACAATCACACGATTAACAGAACTACAGTCGCTTTTACGTCCTACGTGCTATGTAAACACACTTTTTACTGCGTGTGGTCCGATATGCTGGGACAGGGCGGTATGTCGTTGTCGCTAACGAGCCGTAAAGACGGAAGAGGGACGAGAAGGGATCTGGGCTGAGGCCCCCAGTACAAAGGGGTTGGGAGGAGAGGGGCAGATGGTCCTCCGACCATGTCGCGAAGTTTAAACAGCTTAGAGGGATGTTGCGGCGCCCCGATGCTTAGGGCGCCAAGTCAGCCGGAAACCTCTAATAGCCCCGTCTGTCTGCGCGGAAAGGAGAAAGAGAAAGAGAACGAGGGAGAGACGTTGTAGACGGGGATGGAGTTCACAGGCGAACTATGAACGCGGCCGCAAAGGTGCCCGTACAGGTTGTATCTCCGCGAGTATACGATAACCGCACCCTCGAGGCGAGCCCGAGGGAAACGCGTTCGACCAGGTATCCGCGTACGTCGCAGCCGCAACTGAATTCATAATTCGAGAGGGGGCAAGGACGGTGTGCGCTCGTGCCTGCGGCCTGAGCTAATTATTAATTATGTTACGAACACGATGCCAGTATATGTACGCATATGTTTGTTGAAAATACGTAGCTATTTTAATTCAATAGACAACAATATTTCTCGAGTGTTTTCCTACCACGGAGTAATTTTGTATAAACATGCGCCACGACGTTTCCGCAAGGTAGAGATAACGTTACGTGTAAAACTATCTATTGAGACAGTTAATTTGACAACTTCTAAAGCAAAGTCAAGTAAAATTAATATATCACAGGAAATAAATGATAGATGATAAAGTCGTGTAATAACGGCAGAATATTAAGAAAATATCACGCAACAGTTGCGTGTAAATTTTAATATACATACATATAGACAATCCTTTCCAAGCATCATTTTGGGCCTTAATTAAAAATTAGAAATATTAGTAAATGCATAATGTACAAAAAGACTGATGCATACGTTTATGTGTAACCAGACACAATAAAGTAGTAGATGACCTCGACGATTCTAATTAATTGTCTCAGTCATCGTGAGTGTTTTAATGGATATCATATTACAGAGTCTTTCACGAGGCTTTAATTTCCTCTGCATAACAAATACGGATATTGTTTGACATATATGACGTATATTAGATGTATATCTTGTTATACCATAAATACATATGCACTTAATGAATTTTGTTAATTATTGAAAAGATTCATATACATGTACATATATGTATTTATTTATTTATGCTGTTATATTTGATAAAATGTGAGTTGAAACATATTTCTTCAAATGATTTATCGGTAGTTTGTTGTATGAAATTCTATGGAAAATAATGAAGACGATCATTGATTGAGATTAGTCATCAGAAAAAATTATCTACTTGCGATAGATCTCAGATGTGTTATTGAACATTCGGCCAAAATTGAAACATTCAATGAAAAGATCGAAAAGTACACACAATGCACTCATTCTTCCCTTTTTTCCCTTTGCCTCGGTCCATCGACTTTACTTTATACTAACAACGGACAGGTTGTGTTTATTGTGAAAACAGGGCACGATCACGCGTGTGTAGATAAGACCGCATACACACAGCGAATTGATCATCCCGATGACATGAGGTCGATGATTTCGATAATGTTCTTCTGTAATCACGCATCAATGTCTAGACAAATTGGATTTATCTTCAAAATTTGAAATGATATAATTTAAGAAACTCGCGCATAATTAACAGCGATGAATTAAATAAAATTGCTGATCTTTTATACAATTTTTTTATTAGGAAAGAGTTCATTAGAAAACAATTTAGTTGAAATTATTTTGACAAAACATATAGTGTTTTTGACAAAATCAGCAACAATCAGTTTTGATATATTTAATAAATTATTATGATTTATTCTTACATTTATCAGACCGAGCAGCATCGCATGAAGCCAATGCAAAACTCATGATTCGCTAAGCCACCCCAGGAAGCTCTGAAAATATTCTGCCGCCTCTCTCAAAGACATTCTGCTGGTGTTTTCTCATCGAAGAGACTTGTGGCCACTTGTCAGTCTGTCACTTCGCTCGTCAACCCCTTGCAACGACCGTGCACTTGACTCGTCGCATCCCCCCGTTGCGTCCCACCACCGCTAACCCCCCGAAAACGTTCGCCTAACTGCGAAGGTAACGCGAAGTAACGCTCCGATCCCTCGTAGCCTATTCTGGGTTGCCGGCTCGCGCACGAACAATATTTGCAGAGCTCTTATTCTCAACCCCCGTGAGCGGCGGCGCTTCGACCCCCGCTCGTCCGAACCACCCGTTTCTCTTTCCACCCCTCGTGTGCACCAGCAACCACCTACCTACCTACCTAATAATGATTTTACGTTACGCCACGCCGTTCCCCGGGGAATCCGACGGTGCCGCACCCTTATTGCACATGGCCCGTGCTCGGTACATGGGGTACGTAGGCAGTCGGTCGAAGGGGGGGTTGGAAAGAGAGAGACAGAGAGAGAGAGAGAGAGAGAGAGAGAGAGAGAGAGAGAGAGAGAGAGAGAGAAAAAGAGAGAGAGATCGCAACGCAGCGAAAACAGTTCATCAAATCGATCTAGCGAGCGTGTGTACAAGCTACCAGAAGCGCGTGACTTATCAGAGAAACGACGAAACAGATTTCAAGTTAGATTTGTATTTTTCTTTTTAATAAATTCTGTAACAAGATATTGCACTTTAGAAAATTAATTATTTCCAATATAAGCAAATATTAAAACACAAAATAATTATTATCAGATCTCTTTAATTCACGCGTTGCGTAAAAGTACGGTGAACAATTAGTTTTACATTTTCAAATCGTAGAATGTATTGAAAGTATTTTTATTGAATAAGAAAGGTTCAAAAAATACATGAAGCAAATCCTCCTCTCTCTTCATCGCCAAAGAAGGAACTGTCCCTCGAGAGAAAGATTCCTATGGCAAAAGGACTCGGACTGGTCTTCGTTTCAATTGCTGCGACCGTGAACATCATTGGTTGGCGCTCTCACAACACCTCTGAATTTTTCATTCTCCTGAATAATGAATTAAATGTTTCATGGCGACCCTCCGCGTAGGACGCAACGGTGCGTGTAGGTGGACACAACTGCGCGCAACATGATTCGTAGGTGATCCCGCAGGTTGTTAGAGAAGTCTCCGGAAGTGACCATCGCTTTGTATCCTGTTACGATAAGTCCTTTCCTTTCGTCGTTTCGGGGGGGCCGTAAAATGAGCATCGTAGAGATGGAGGGCATCGGAGTGACGGCAGGATGGAGTGGCGTGGGGAGGACAAGGTGATAATTTGATAAGACATCGGGAGGGGTTGCCATGGAGACGATACAAAACCCAGAACCTCAACTAGAACCCTCCAACAGGCAGCTTTCTCTCCTTCGTTGCTCTCTGTCCCTCTCCCTCGAGAAACCTACTCCTTCAAGACTCCGCTCCATCAACCGGGAGACACCAAAGTGTCAAGTGTCCTGCCGCCACCACTGTTTCGCAGTCCCTCAACTTTTTTGCTCTGGCCTCCCTAGTCGCACGTAGGACTTCGACGCGTCCGACATTGATGCGTACTGTCGAAGATATACACGCATCGCAAAAATACAAAAAAAAATGAAATTACAGAGGGTTGTCTATCATTAATAATAATCTGAACATATTTTTGAGATGTAAATGACATTTTAACAAGATTGTTTTATTTTCTGCCTTCTCTTTCAACGTTATTCTAAATATAAATATAAATAATTGAATTTTTTATAGTTGTTGAGTAAAAATTATTATAAATATCTAAGAAAAATATTATTAGATTAATAATGTTAATTTTTTATTCAATTTTTCTTATTTTAATTTTAACTAAAAGAATACTTCCGTTATTTTAAACACAATTAGTAATCAAAATATTCATTTTGGAGTAGATAAGATTATCTACTTGTGTATCTCGCACAGAATCCACGTTGTGTCACAAAGTTCCATTCCAAGATTAGGGAGGCCATGATACCACCCCAAATCGTGGGAGCAAGAAACGAGAACGCTAAATACAGAAGAGACGGGGGGGAAGCACCCCGAAAGAGACATTACGATTATTACCGAGCGAAACTCGCAATGTGGGACTCGGCATCCCTGAAATGCATTGGCCACATGTGCTATATTCAACTGGATCCTCTCACAAGGACTTGGTCCAGACGGTTAGCTGCATTATTTATCGCACGAACTTGTGCCGGACTAATTGATCCCTTACGTTCCCTCGATAATGATACCCGTCGGAATCACGAGCGCGATTTTCATATAACGCGAAAGTTAGTGAGCTGTCCAAAGATGGGATAATTGCGTTCCAAGTAAATTCAATTCAAATAATTTTAGCATTCTCATCCGATTAGGTAAAACGAGTAACAGTAAATCATATTCGTGTGTGTAGTATATAAAATAATTAAGCTAAGTTAAACTAGAAACTCATTAATTTATGTTAAAATTAAAGTCGACAGTAACGCAATGCTTTCATAAATACATTGATAGTAACTAATAATTTATATTAACAGGTATTAATGCGCTAATTTTTAATTTGAAAATATATATTTTCTAACTAGACGAGATATATGGTTATAAGAAATCAATTTTTTCAAATTTTACTTTTAAAATCAAGATTTGCAGGTCACTTACCAGTATGTATATAAGTATGTTTCTTCATGTCGCTTTTTTGGTGGAATCGTTTGCCGCAAAATTGGCAGGGATATGGTCTCGTATCCGAATGGATTAGAAGGTGAGTGCTGAGTGTGCTGGATCTTTTGAAGGCTTTACCGCATTGCTTGCATTCGAACACTTTCTCTGCGGAATGCACAGCTCTGTGCTGCGTGAGACTGATTTCGTGACCGAAGGTTTTGTTGCACAATTCACAGGCAAATGGTCGTTTACCGTTATGTGACCGCCTCGCATGCACCTATGCAAATCAATATCTTATGTTAACTAATGTTATAATATGATCAAATTTATCAAAACAGTCTAAGACTCAACAAAGAGTCTTTGTACCTCTTGATAAAGAATAGAACATTTCAAGTTTAAAATTATTTTCTGATATGGAATGTAAAATAACTTCCGTTAAATCATATATAATATTTAATATTTAATCACTATTTTACTTTACTATTATTTATTTTATTATTAAAATGTAAATGAATGTAAATAAAAATTAAAAAGTAACGTCTAAAAACAAGTTAAAATTAGCGCTGTAAAAATATAAACTTTCGCGACGATGAACTTGTCAGAACGCACACGGATAGGAACAGCAGCGCCGGCAGCAAATCAGAAATGAATCAAAACAACCAAGATAAGTCTGGAAAAAAAGCACGCGTTGAATGCGCGTATATACCTCGAGTCCATGCGGCGTGCTAAACATCTTGTCGCACTTGACGCAGCTGTAGACGTCACCGAGCGGATGAGGATGGTGCAGCCCGTGTGCCGTGTGGGTCGAGTGCAGCCCCGGGTGAGCCGGATGAACGCTGCGTAACAATGGATGCAGGTGCGGCGGTAAAAGATGATGCGGTAATAGCTGGGGATGCAGGTACGTGAGAGGATGATGCGGATGGGGTGGTAAGAGGCTGCCCTGAAGATGCAACGGCGGATACAGGATCGACGAACCGGGCGGTGGCGGATGGGCGCCCATGGAAGCGGATTCTCGGTGCGGGGACGCGTTCTGTAGGTGTGCCGAAGGCGGATCCGGCCTTAAGAGTGCGGAAACGCTGAAACTGTCGCCGGATTTCTTCGGTGGATGTGACACGGGCGATGTCGCGACGCTAATCGGCGACGGCGAGGGTGTGGATGACGATCGCGGAGGACTCGAGGTACCCTCATGATCATCCTCGTCACCGACTTCCTCGACGTCCACGTCGACTTCCTCTTCACCGACGTCAACGTCCACCTCGGCGTCCCGACGCTCGGGCGGAGGGGAATCCGGGCAAGGAGACTGAGACGGCGAGGGACTCCTCGTCGCCGGTGAACCCACCAGACGACCAACTCCGAAAGAGAGCCGTTCTATAAGATATCATTTAATGACAATTAATTATTAACATTGTATAGATGCGGCTCCTAATTAGTAATTCAGTTTTGTTAACGAACCTTTTTATTACAATTTTAAAAAATACTATCAATATTAATCACTTAAAAAGAAATCAAGAATCATCTCGCTTAGATTTCTATTTCTACAACCCCGAGCAGGTATATTTCGTAATCGATAAACCAAAGTTCATACACCAGTCACGAGAGCAAGATGGCCAATGACTGGACGAACAGCAACGTCACGTATGAGATACACGTGAGATGCTAGGTGCAGGGGAATCCGAAAAAAGAAGACGGATAAATACAGTTTCTTTTCTGGCGAAAGGATCCGGCTCGAATGAGATTTGAGTCACGTATTGGGCCTTTTTTCCTAGCGTGCTGGCACGAGGGTGTTTAAGAGACGGACAAGGCACAAGAGGTCGTGACAGGGTCTCATGTTGCGCTAACGAGGTATCGCGAGGAGAGAACCAAATAGTGAGGTGCCGAGAGCGAAATGTATTTCCGCGACGTTTCGTGAAGCAGTGTTCTTAATGAAATCCTTCGCGCACCCTTCCGGAATATTTCATCCGACGCAGTGCTATGAGTCGTGATTAATTCTTATGACATCGTTGCGAAACGGAATGATGAGCAATAAGGCGGCAAAAAATATTATATGCCTAATAGGAGGATTCCAATTTTCTAATTGCACTTTTGCGTGACATCGTTTAATAATTGTGAGATAGTATAAAAAGAAATTATTATTGCATTATTTCCTTTTGTTAATGATTAATGTGATTGTCTACTAGATAATATGTCACATAATTATGGCTCTAATATCCCATGACTGGTTAATATATAATCAGGAGATTAAACTTTTATCATTATTGAAATATTAAATTAATATTTTCGCAATGACAGTTGCAATTTGCATTGGGTCGCAATTTCGGTATCGCTTGTCAATCGGAATTTACTGTATTCTCTGATTATCAAATCGATGATTCCCGACGCAGCTTTGATTTGTACGTCGCGTCATTTTATGTGTCGACTGGTTCAAATGAAATATGATTCAAGTGTGAATTTTGATGTATTTGTTAGATTAAATGGACAGAATATATTTATTTCGTTATCATTATAATTTGATGAGTACTTTCGGAGAGATCTAGATTTGATTGCAAGATGTGATTAACGCAGAGTTCAGGATGAGTAATTTATTTATTACATTATTTTAAGTAATAATACTCTCAAAAATATCATTGTTTGCATTAAAAATAATTTTATTATTAAATAATCAATTTAACAATTTTAACAATTTAAAATATATAATTTAAAAATGATAAATTTTGTAAAACCTTTGCTCAAATCCGATATAATTTGAAATCAAACTGGATATTATTTGCAGCATATTTAATAATTTCGTTTCGATTGTCGTGATTTACGGCGTCGAATGAATCAAAAATCGGGCACGCGTGTTTCGCCACGCGAGAAAGAAGGGACCCGGCTCTATTTCACAGCCCCTTTCGATGCCCGGCAATTTCGGCTTCAGACCACTCATATTGCATCTCGCACATACCCGGTATATTATATTTATAATCCGCGCGCGCAACACGCGGTCACGTGTCGGCTCATATGATGCACCGCGGTGTCGGTTAATCGCATTTAAAGCTCTCCGCGAGCCCCGTTGTTGGGGTCGATTATTATCGTGTCTCCTGGTGGCTTTGCAATCGAATCAAAATACGACTCGAGTCAGAGTGGCCTAATGTAATGAGAAACGCGCCTCGCGCCTGCAGGGATCTGTCCGAGGAGAGATAGATAGGTACTTTATTGCACCGGTCAAAAGCACAAAGAAAAACGGAAGGTGGGGCTAATGAAATTACTAATGTTATATCTGAATATTTTTCCTGTAACGAGAAGTATATTTGAAGGAATGTTATCCTAAACTTAGAATTCGTACTTTTGTTGCGTAATTATTTGTATTAATTAATGCAATTAAATTAATTTGAAAGCAACATTTTCGAATTTTGGGAATGGATTTGAGATGATTATTAGAATATGTATATTAAAATTGTGAATATATAATATCCACTGGCAACAATTTTTCTAATTTTGATTTCATGTATAACAATTTTATATAGTGGACATTGAATATAAATTTAACAAAAATTAATTACATTAAAGATTTTTTTTTAGAAAGTTCAGTTTTATGACAATCGAAAATAATTTTGTTACGTCGTTTATGTTTCATCATTGTAAGAAAGGTAGAGGGAGATCGAGACGAAAATGAACAAAAAGAAGGAGGAAGTCCGGACAGATGTGTCTCCGAGAGTGATAGGAAGAACTGCTTACGCAAATGTTGCATCTGGGTCGACTGGAATGCGCTAAAAACTGGCGGTGCAAACCGCAACGCGAGAAAAACACTCGGCGACGATCCAGCAGATGAGTTTAACTTTAGTCCGGGTTTGGACAGGATCTGCGAGACGCATTTACGCACATATGCATACTGCATCGAGATGCATGTCGCGCAGTGGCTTGCAGCCTCGATACAATGAATGAAACTTCTTGAATCAACTTCAAGATCGTTTTTGTCACTGTCAGTGTACGTTTACCATGTTTGCGTAAAGTGCTTGGAGATGCTTACGAGACTTACGAGATGCTTACTTACGAGACAAAGTTTCAGAGCGTAGTGTACAAACACTGGCAAATGCTCCAAAGCAATAATTTATTAACTAATTCATGAAACATTATAATGTAACTTAAGTTACCATATAAAAAATTAAATAATTCTATTTATTACAGAGAAATGAAATAAAATATCTAGAGAAGAAAAATTAAAACAAAAAATTATATACATCTTCATGTGTCTTTTTGAATGCTAATGTAATAATTCTCGGATAAGTTAAGAAAATATATATTATTAAAAAAATATTCTTAATTTATAAATACATGTCATTAAAATAATGATCTATCATCTTTGTTCCATCTAAATTTATTCTAAATTATTTTAAATTAAAATCCTCCTTTTCAAATCACATTTTTTAATAATTATATTGTCATACTGTCTCTTGCATTATTTACTTTAACCAGTCAAAAAAAACCAGCCTGGAAATTTTTTGAGTTTGTATTGCGGAAAAAATATAAATGTGATCTATTTTTAATTGGATATTTTATTAGTATATATATTTTTAACTATTCGTCTTGTATATTTTATTAAAAAATATTAATCTTTTGCAGAGAAACGGTGTATACTATTCCATCATTAATTATCTTGAAAGAAAAAACAAATTAATTTTATAAATTATAATTTTCTACCGAGCTTTTTTCTATTTGTTTTTAAATTAATGAAAATATAAATGTTTGAATTTTTGCTATATTTTTATTAATATAAATGTTATATTAAATGTTATATTTTGCAAATTAAAAATTAATAAAAGCATGGGTTATTTTTATTAGACGAAAACTATTATTTTCCCGAATGTATGTTTCAAATTTCAAGTCAATCCATCAATTATATTATACATGAGAAATTATATACATCATCTTAAAAAATATGGCTTCGAAAAAAATGTGTTTAAAGTTTGATTATGTCATGCAATTTTTACGTTTTATCATTAATTACCTATGCCTTATTTTATAAAATGGACTTTCTTCTTTTATCTTCCTCTTTTTCTTTTCTTCCTATTGTGCTCGAAGAAAGCGAAAACTGAAGAGGAGAAGTATATTTCTATACAATTCTATCATGCCGCACAATTCGATTGTGTCGGCTTGTTCGGATATTTACCCGCGCCTAGTATGCGAATCCACTTCAAACGTTATTATAATTTGAGGAATATTTCGAGGCATCCACTTGGAATCTTTTGCACATTAATTATAAAGACCTCAAACTATTCTTTCTCTGAAGCAAAAAAAGAAATTTTGATTTTTTGACAATTTAGTACAGTAACCTTAATATAACTTAAATAATCACTGACAGCCGGATGAAAAATCTGTTTTTGAGAACCCACATCGTCCTGTCACTCGGCTCTATTGACGCCGCTTATGCAGCAAAGATCACGCGTATTTCTTTCCATGAACCGACAGCACGGAAAGGGTTTGAAGTGTATAACGGCTCTAATAGCGGCAGATCGCTACGCAGTAAATGACTGACGGACGACAGAAGATTAAAGTTAACCATTAACTCGATCTAATTGTCCTTCCGACTTGGCCTTCCTTTATTAATCCACGTCCATAACCATCTTCAATACCGTCATCCCCTCGTCACAAGTCGGTTTACCGATTCACCGTAAGAAATGATTTCATGTTAAAATCCTCGACCAAGTTTACTTATTCAAAACAGCTCGTTTACTGTTAAAGAACACAAATCAAAATTTTACTTTCTTCTTTATTCGTAGATAAAGTATTTATAAATTCCAAGGTTATTTAAATATCTACTATCTATTAAATATCTATATATATGATATTATTTTTCAAATTAAATTATCTTCACTATGTGCACGTAAAGGATCCACTTCACAATCGTTTATCTTACAATCTCTAGATAAAGTAAATAAAGTTTATGTTTTTATTTGCTTACATAAATATTAAAATATTTGATTAATGTAGATTAAGATTGTTAAAGACTTCTATTTTATCAACGCGAGTCTAACGATAACAAATCACAGAATGTTTCCGCTTTGCCGTCTTCGAACAGCTTCTACGATTCTCTTGATCTTCTACATCTTCTATATTGAAGATAGCAGTGATAGTCTGTATAAATAATAATATAATATTGCTCAACCAACGTCATGTTTGCACGGCACAAATCTTGGCAAAGCGGCGACGATAAAAGTAACGCGATTGATCTTATCACGTCTGAGAATGAACGGAGCAGATGAATGGCCACGTGCAGGCGCGCGCGCGCGCGCATGCGGGAGAAATAGGAAGAGTATATGCACGGGCGTTTAACATGACAAGATGTTACTAATTCAGGGTAGGTACGAGCACAAAGGGGCCGACGGACCGAATCCCTGTGCCCGCGCCTCTAATCCGCTCCAATTGGGCCGGCAGAAGTTAGAAAGGCCCATGTCCATGCGTGGTATGACGCGTGCTACCATTTATCCCAATCGTCGACGACGACCGGTCGTTCTTAATGATCGGCAAATAAAAACCTGCCGTCATCCGGGCTGAGGAGGAAGCCGTCATCACAACGGGGCGAAAGGTCGGCTCTACACCCGCCCGTCTACATTCACCTTTCGCGGAGAAGCAAGAAGTATGCGGTACGACGAATGCAGTACGTATAGCGATGATTGTATCTTTGATTAGCGGGATAGCAGAAATTTCTTAACGTGCACAGAAATTAATAATATGAAAAATAAAACTGTAACATCTACAGTGACGCTCAAGCAAAATGATCTGCACTTCATATAAAACGGATCGTAAATAATAATAATCAATTTTACAATAATTAATATCACGATTCGTCGTAATCAGAAACACATAACGTAACTTTATCGATGAAAAGTAAATCAGAATTATTTCTATATATGCTTTTATTTCTAGCAATTTTTTTTATCAAAATAAGATATAAAGGTAAAATAAAATATATGATATAGTAAAATATTAAAATGCAGTACTTTTCTTCCTCTGATATCAAAAGTGTGGAAAGTTGGTACACGATCGCGCCTAAGTTCGACGTCGAAAGATTCTTTTACTGTATCACGATATAATTCGATTGAATACACGAACTTGTCGATAAAACGGATTACTGACTCTTCACGGCGCACATACCTGAGTGACTTTTTGGCAAAGGTGGCAGGTTTGTAACTTCCGTGGCGTTCCCAAAAGGTGCCCACAGTCTCGGAAACATTAAACGAACATTGCATCCTCCTGTAAGAAACAATATCACAATATCATGTTATCATAATATTAAAATATCATAATAAACAAATATAATTTATTAAATTTGTTACATTAAAAAATTAATTAAGTATACAGTGATGTGTAGCATATGTTAAAACATTAATTTTTAGATCACAGATTTGTGACATTAATATTTCTTTAAATGTTACATATTTCAAAAATAAAATTAATAAATTCTCATTCTATCTTATGTCGAAATGTGAAAAATTATTAAACATTAGATACATGAAATCGAATCAATATATTCATCATTACATTTGATTTGTTACACATTACTATGATACACAGAAAATCTGATATGGAAAGGTCATGCAAACGATCGGACATTTTTCGTGATCGTTTATGCATCGTTACTCCGTCAATCACCAACGCTGCAACGACATCTCAAGTCTGACAAATTTGGTATTCTCAGTTCGTAGGAAAGATCAACCCCTCGACAAGAGCGTCTTTATTAGAAAGGAAGCGAAACCCTCCTCTATTTATCAACCTTGCCCCGGCCATTACTCGCTCTCTTTCTCCCCGAAACCTGCATTCCTATCTCTGAACATCCGCCATCCATCCTAGTTGCTTTCTTTGATCGTTCCAGTGGAGGATCAAAGTTCGAAAACTTCACGCCAATTCGTCATTCTGATGATTAATCAAACGAGTGAAATCTTCGTCTTTTGCTTGGCGTACGGAATACCAAAAACTATACGATGCATCGAATCAATATTGGCACGATTATATTATCTCAGAGATTTATGAAATAAATAACAAAAATCTTTTTTATAACTTATCAAAGAGTAATAAATTAAATGTAAAATAATTACAATTGATAAAAAGCAATACATTAATATTTTAGATTTAGTTCATAAAATTTATATAAATCCACAAAGCCTGCTATTAATATAGACAAAAATATATAAAATATTTGTTTTATTGCTTAATAATTAAAAAATTAATAATTTCCGATATCGCAGCGTATAAACGAAGAAATCTTCATCCATGGCAATGAAAAATCGCGACTGTCAAGAAAAGTTGCTTCTCGACCGACAAACGACATACTGTAATCCGTGCCAGTTTTTTTACACAGGTGCGATAAAATATCAAATCCGAGTTTTACGATGATGAATCCAGAACCTATCTAATCATTCAATTTGATCGAGCTAAATCAGATCTATCTTCTTTTACATCGATATCATATGTGCGTCACTCAGTCTCTTCATTTTATTATTGAATAAATGCAAAAATCTGCTATAAGCTAGAATGAAATGTATAATAAAAGTTTAATAATATTGATAAGTAAGATTATTATTAACGGAAAGCAAAGTATAACATATGCTGGAATTTTAATTTGATAATAATAAATGTTTACATTTTGATTAT